ACTACGGAAGTAGATTGCCCCATCTTCCTTCTGAGGAGTGGCTGGTGGGTTTGAACCGCCAGCCTTCTGGATAACAGTCAAGTGCCTTAGGCACTATGCTACCAGAGCTCCTACTGTTTTCTTAGGCATGTTTTTTTTATTATAAGAGTAGTCCTTCTCTGTAAAATGGGACAACCACTGTGGAAAGCAGTATGTCAGTTCCTTAAAAAGTTGGAACTAGAAATATCATTTGACCTAGCCATTCTATTACTGGGTATATATCCTAAAGAAGTGAGAGCCAGGACAAGAACAGATACATGCATACCCATGTTCATCACAGCACTATTTACAATGGCCAAAAGATGGAAACAACCTAAGTGCCCATCCACTGAGGAGTGGATAACCAAACTATGGTACGTACACACAGTGGAATACTGTGCAACCCTAAAGAAAAGCCTAGAATCTGCAAAACATTGCGTAATGTGGATGAACTTGGAGGACATTATCCTGAGTGAAATAAATCAGTCACAGAATAAAAAATATTTTATTATTCCATTATTGTAAAAAGTCAAGGAAAGGTTTATATATGTTAGGAAATTTTCTTTGCTGGTTACCAGAGGTGGGAGGGTACGGTAGGGAACACTGTTAGATAGGTACAGACATTGATTTGGGTGAGAGAAGGGGAATGTACCAAATGGGAGTGAACAACATGGTGGTATTGAGGAAGAGGAAAACAGAGAAGTACATGGGAGGGTACTGACAACAAAGATGAACCCTTTTGCACATACAGTACTATGTTGTCAGTGAAGGCAAAAATGGAAATACTATGGAGGGGGGATTGTGCCCAAGACCATGTGTAGAGTTGGCAGACAGTGTTTCTACAGGTATATTGGTAGGTTCTGTAAGAATTCTCAGGTGTATAGTAGAGCTGACAAGGGACAAGATTGTAGTCAGTTCTTGGGCACAGCCAGCTACCCAGAGGGAGCAAATAGTTTGACCTGTAGGCTCAGGACCAGAGTCACAGGGAACATCAAGCTCTTTTGGCATAACATACTACACGAAACATTGTTCTGCCTCCTACTTTGCCAAGTAGTGACTGGGATCTTAAAAGCTTGTAAGCAGCCATCTAGATGCAATGATGGGTCTCTCCTCGTTCAGAGCAAAGAAGAATGAAGAAAACCAAAGATTCATGCAAACAATTAGTCCAAGTGACTAGAAACCATGTGATCCTCAGCCTATATGACTGTGAGACCAGAAGAACTATATGGTGCCCAGCTACCATTGTCAACCACTTGGAGGGGCATCTAGGTCGGAGATCCTGGATAGAGTGGAAGAGCAATGTGGAACAAAAATAAAAATCACTTGTGGGGAAAAAAAAAGGGACCAGGTTTCCTGGTCTGATAGAACCTGATGGAACCACTGAGACTATGGCCCCTAGCTGTCCTTCAGATCTGGAATTAAACCCACTCCTGTGGCTTCCAGCCAAACAAAAGACAGGCATTTGAGGTGAACATTTACACCAGGTAGATACATTCCTTCTAGAGAACAATAATGGAAGAATAAAAGGACTGTGTATGCACAGGGAGACAGCTCAGAGGCCAGGAGTGCATGGAGGGAAGGACACAGGGAAGAGGTAACTATGGAGAGGAAGTGGGAGGGGAGCTGTTGCATTGTGGTAAATTGTAGTCAATGTCATGAGACAAAGTGTATGTGAACTGCTGTATGGGAAGTGAATTTGCTCTGTAGACTTTCACCCAAATCACAATTAAATAAAAAAAAAAAAAAAAGTGGTCCTTGTTAGAGGATTGTTTATTTGCTTCTTTATTTCAGTCATTAGTGGCTGGGAAGTTGATGATAATACCTTACATTTGGAATGCATAAGACTTTATCAAAAATGTCTTTACTTACTTGGCTTATTTAAGTGTTTAAAATACTTTTGTGAGGCAGACAGTAGAGGTAATAAAAATATTTTAAAGTATCCAGAATAGTGTCTGCAATAGTGTAATTACTCAGCTAATGCGTATTTGTTGAGAGAGATATGTTGAGAAACCCAAAATAGAAGAGTGGAGATGAATAGGAGTTGTAACTTGTCTAGAATAATGAACCAGAAGTGTAGCAGTACTGTTCAATAAAAATGTAATAGAAAACATATATACAACTTTAAAATTTCTAGTAGACATATTGAAAAAGTAAAAAGAAATAGGTACACTTAATTTTAGTGATATATTTTATTTAATCTGTTACATCCAGAATATTAGTATTTCAACATGAGATCAATGTATAACTTGAGCTCTGTTCCATACGTTTTTGGTATTTAAGATATAGTATGTTTTTTATACTTCAGTACATCCTAGTTCTTACTAGCCACATTTCAAGTGCTCAGTAGCTACGTGTGGCCTGTGACTTATATTCTGAAGAATTCTGGATCTTTTTTAGTTTCCATGACATCACACTGACACTCCTGACATTTCATTTTTGCTCCCTAAGGAAATACATAACGTAAAGAATGGGAATTCCAGAACACTTCATTGTGCTTATGAGAAACTGTACATATACTGAGAGGCAGTCATTTGGACAGAACAGGGGAATACTGCATGGTTTAAAAATCAGGAAAGGTGTGCGTCAGGGTTGTGTCCTTGCATCATGGTTATCAATCTGTATGGTGAACACATAATCCAAGAAGCTGGACTTTATGAAGAACAACGTGGCATCAGGATTAGAGGAAGACTCATTAACAACCAGCAATACACTGGTGACACAACTTTTCTTGCTGAAAATGAAGAGGCACTTACTGATGAAGATCAAAGACTACAGCCTTCAGTATTGATTATACCTTAACATAAAGAAAACAAAAATCCTTACAACTGGACCATTAAGCAACATCATGATGAACAGAGAAGAGGCTGAAGTTGTTAAGAATTTCATTTTACTTGGATCCACAATCAATGCTCATGGAAGCAACAATCAAGAAATCAAATGATGTATTGAATTGGGCAAATGTGATGCAAAAGTCTTCTTTAAAGTGTTAAAAAGCAAAGATGTCACCTTCAGAACTAAGGTGTACCTGACTCAAGCTGAGGTATTTTCAGTCACCTTGTATGCATATGAAAGCTGGACAGTGAATAACAGACCTAAGAAGAATTGACTCATCTGAATTGTGGTGTTGGTGAAAAATTGAATATACCATGTTCTGCCAGAAAAACGAACATAACTGTCATAGAAGTGTAGCTGAATGCTCCTTAGCAGCAAGGAGTGCTTCTAAGTCTGTCTCATACACTTTGGTCATGTTATCCGGAGGGTCCTGTCCCTGGAGAAGAACATCATGCTTGGTAAAGTAGCGTTGTTGTTGTTGTTGTTACGTGCCGTCAAGTCAGACCCAACTCATAGTGACCCCCCCCTTGGGTTTCCCAGGTGGTAGAGGGTCAGCAAAAAAAGAAAGAGAAAGACCCTCAATCAGATGGATCGACACGTGCCTACAGCAGAGGGCTCAAACATAGCAATGCTCGTGAGAATGGCTCAGGACTGGGCAGTAGTTTGTTCTGTTGCACATAGGGTTGTTGCGAGTTAAAACTGACTTGACAGCATCTAACAATAACAAGGGAATATAGATTAATTCTGTGTATGTAGTAAATTGCGTATCATTTTGAGAGAAACATCATGAAGTTAGAAATAAAAAGACAAGATTTTTTTTATATATATATACCTAAGATTTTATACCTTTTCTCAGGAAGGATATGGAGAAATATAAACATGTGGGTGAGCTTAGAGCACAGATAAAAGGAGTGGCATTTAGAAGCTTGATGCTAATGAACAGATTAATAAATTCATTACGAAAGTTATGATCATGAAGGCCAACAGGTAAACTGTGTGTGTACTTTACCAAGGAAACTGGTGAGGCCGTGCATTTGCCATCTGGTGGTCAGGGAGAGCAAATGCAGTTCATCAGTTAGCTCATGTCCTTATCTGTTGGTCTTTTGTTTTTCTTTTCTTAATTTGAAATTTAGGAGCTCTGGTAGCATAGTGCCTAAGACACTTGACTGCTAACCAGAAGGTTGGCGGTTCAAACCCACCAGCCACTCCTCGGAAGGAAGGTTGGGCATTCCTACTTCCGTAGTGATACTGCCTCGGAAACCCAAGGAGGGGTCGTTATGAGTCGGGGCTGACTCGATGGCAAATAACAACAACAACAATTTGAAATTTAAACTAGTACTTCATTTTTGTCTGGACTGTCTGAAAATACCTATCCCTCACCCCCTCTGCCCCTCCGCTCCCATTTTGCCCTTGTTTTGGGGATGCTTGGTCGGGATACTTTAATTCATAGTAGGATGGTTTTGAAAAATACTCTCATGTTAGTGAACTTGGGCACAAAAGCTAAAAAATATTTGGAGGGAAAAATGGAGTTTCTATTTTCAAATAAAAAGCAATTGCCTCTACAAGCATTTAAATAAGTGTGCAGAGGCTGTGTTTGTCTTTCAAGATGAGAAAAAAGGACGTTTCTTAAAACTGTATGAAAATCATGCAGTTATTTCTATGGGGTGTACCTCTACATGTGCACACACATGCATACATACACCAAAAAGTTGGGTGACTTTTGGCATAATCTGAAATGTGTCGTTCTTTAACCTTTCATGCCTGGGTGGATAAGGAAACTTCACTTGGTTTAACAATTGCCATTCTAATTATGGAATATATCGAAGGATATACATGGTGACACCTTTCCACCAAGAGAAGTGATAATCATATCTGAAATCCAGAGATGATTATCTGGGCATGTCTCTCTTTCTTTAGAGAAAATTGTAAGCAGAATGAAATGTATATAGGACAATATCTGCCCCAGTATGGGTGGTTATTAATAAAATACCCACTTGTTTGAATGATAAACTTTAAGAAAGAGGAATTGGGAGAGGGAAATTAATTAATTTACTGATGAATTTGTAACTTGTGTACTCCTTCCAGTGAGCTGTCAATAGTATGCTATTGATTTTTGCTGTATTTTGAGTTATGTCTTTTTTTTCCCCCAGAAAATAAAGCTGTTGGAGTGATGAAAGCAGGCCATGTATTTACAATTGAACCAATGATTTGTGAAGGTGAGAAAAAGGATGCTGTGACATTGTTTAATTGTGTTTTATTTACTTTTGGTTATTCACGATCAGATTAGTAGTCTGCTCTACTTGATTTCTTTTTGCTTCATTCACATTCCCTAGTCCATCTGGAATTTGATTTAGAATTACATAGATACCTGAAAATTGTGAGTTGGCAAGAAGGTACTACTTGATACATGCTAATTTTCCTGCTGTCAGTAGTGCTGAAGTATTTGAATTCTGGTCCCTCTTCATAAAGATCCTGTCACAGGGTGGTATGCTGTCATAGTAGGAAGCCTACATCAAGCTTGTATAGAAGTTCTTGCTTGACAAAGGAGGCAGCAGAGAAGGTAAAAAGAAGTACAGCATTTGTTGAGCAAACAATTTGAGGAAGACACAGTTGTATGGTTTAATTCTCTGCAACTGATGAGGTAGATGTTAACCCCCACTGTACAGAAGTGGAAACTGATTCTTGGAGAGGTTAAGAAAGTTGCCCAGAGTCACTTGGATGGTTAAAGTAGCATAATTTGTCAGGCTCTAAACTCTTGTTTGTTGCGTGGTGATGTGCTGCCTCTTCAGGGTCTACACTTATGTAAGCGTAGGACATGAGTTATGAGGCGTAATATCAGACAGCTCTTGTGGAGGAAGATCAGCACAAACACACTTGGCTCTAGCAGATATCTGTACTGCTGTTATTCCCCATGACAGGCACGTGGCAGTGGTGATAGACTTGGTGCCACTATTAGGGCTGCTTACTGTGGTTGTCAGAGTGTTTGTAATAAGTGGAACCTACTTCATGAAGCCTTCACCTTTATTTTTCCCAGCTGTGTCTTAACATGGAGGGAGTGTCTCACCATTGCTTACTAGTTCTTTGCTGGGATTAGGAAATAGAACATGAGGCAATAGGAGTAGGCCTTGCCCTGTATTAAGGATACCTCTTCTTCAGATCCTTCCTGGGCAAGTTCACAAAAGTTAGCTGACTCCACAGAGAGCATCCACTACTGCTCTGGAGGAAACTACTTGCTGCAGTCCCATTGGATTATTGTGGCCCCTGTAATTCCGAGTCCACATAGCAGCTAGTACAATCTTTGTACACTGAAAATCACTTCTTATATGTGGAGGATACACTCCAGAGGAGAGACTGTGGGCACCTGGGTAAGAGGTATTTCCTAGTCTAGGGTGAAATGATAGTGGCTTGGACTAGGAAATGGCTTTTTGTTTTCTTAATACCTTCACCATTTTTCCACACTTGACTGAATCTTCATTAACAGCAGTAGTGCCATAACCGTAAAACTCATCTGTCTGTAGGTAAGTCTCATTGGAGAATTGTGTTGGGTCAGTTTTCTGTCAGCTAACTTAGTTCAGAAGGACTGTAGTGTGTGGCCTTTAGTCAAGAAGAGCTCCAGCTTTGGTCAGGGAGAAATGTAATCTAGATCCTATAAGGTAAAAAAAAAAAAAAAAAAGGCTACATCAGTCAGAAGAGTGATAGGGCTTCAAGGACTTGGTAATTATGTGGCATAGGCAGTGTATTTATTAGTTATCTCTTGCTGTGTTTATATTACCCCCAAATGTAGTGGTGATGGTGGTATGTGCCGTTGAGTCAGACCCAACTCATAGCGACCCCTCCTTAGGTTTCTGAGGTGGTATCACTATGGAAGTAGATTGCCCAGCCTTCTTATTAGCAGTCAAGTGCCTTAGGCACTACCCTACCAGAGCTCCTGAAGAACATCTAGTGGGTCTGAATCACCAACATTCTGGTTAGCAGCTAAGCATTTAAACACTGTGCCACCAAGGCTCTGACATACCACAACTAGGGCTTTAATAAACGGAAGTTTTTAATCTCTCACTTTAGGATGCTAGAAGTCTGAGTTCAGAGTATCGGCTCTCAGGAAAGGCTTTCTGTGACTCTGGGGTAAAAGGTCTTTGAGTCTTTTCAGCTTCTGTTACTCAGTTCACTGGCAATCTTCATGTGGCACATATATTCCTCTCTGATTGTGCTTCCTTTTTTGCCCCTGTTGCTGTCAAGTGCAGTCCTAATTTTCAACTCATGTTGTTGTTGTTGTTATGTGCCGCCGAGTCAGACCCGACTCATAGCGACCCCCCTTGGGTTTCTGAGGCGGTGTCACTACAGAAGTAGATTGCCCAACCTTCCTTCCGAGGAGTGGCTGGTGGGTTTGAACTGCCAGCTTTCTGATTAGAAGTCAAGTGCTTTAGGTGACTTAAAAAACACAAATGTTTATTATCTTACAGTTTCTATGGGTCAGGAATCCAAGTATGGCTAGGTGCTTCTGGTTGAAAGTCTCTTAGGCAGTTGCAGTCAAGTTATCTCTTGGGGTTGTGGGCTTATCTGAAGACTCTGCTTGGACAGGATCTGCTTCCAAGCTCACTCCTGTGAGCTTCTGTTCTGTGCAGGCTGTTAGACTGAGGACTGTTGGCTGGAGGCCTTTCTCAGTCCCTCACCTTTTGGACCTCCACAAACGACCTCTTCTAATATGGTAGCTAGCTTTCTGCGGAATGAGCAATCTGACACAGAGAGAAGGAGAGAGAGCACGAGCACACCCAAGACATATTCCAACTTAAGCCAACCCTATAGGACAGAGTAAAACTGCCCCATAGGGTTTCCAAGATTGTAATCTGTCTGGACACAGACTGCTACATCTTTCTCCCACAAAGTGACTGGTAGGTTCAAACCATAAGCCTTCTGGTTTGTAGCCAAGCACTTTAAACACTGTACCATCAGGATTCCTTGTATACTTTAAAGGACTGTGCAAATGGAAGGTATTATTTTTGTCATCCTCATGGAATAAACATAAAGTTCTGCTTGTGTGCAACCAATTGCAAAGACAGTAAGTATATTAGCAGTGAAAAGAAAGAAAGATAGAGAAAAGTGCCATTTTGGTTACATACTTATTTTAATTATCTGCCACCTTGGTTGGTGAGATATAATGTAGTAGTAAGCAGATAACTTTCTGTAGTGCAAATTCAAGTAATCGTCAAATTATAGCTGCTGTACTTCAGTGTGACTTAGCTAGCCTAAATGCCAGCCCCAAAATGGAAAGTCTTGAATCCACAGAGGAGTTTTCTCAGAATAGTGGCCAGATAGGTTTAAATGGACTTATTAAAGAACTTGTTTTAGTAGATCATACTAAAAGTAAAGAAGCATTATATCTTAAATCCATTTGTAAAAGGATCATTACATTGAAAAATACCTATTTACTCATCGGTGGGTTTCTCACAAAGCTTGAGTTAACTTCTTTAAGCAGCCTCCTATTTTTTTTTCCGCCTAGGATTTGGTATTGCACAGTGAGGTTACTTCATGGCAGATTTTGTGCTCTGGGATTTTTCTGTGTGAGTCAGAGAAGCCTAGAAGTATTAATATGTTTCATCCAAAGATTACTGAAGAATATATTGAATTTCCTTGATAATCTAATTGGAAACAAGATAGTCTCTGCAAATACATATGTTTATTGTAGAAGGCTGTGGTGTCTAGAATATCCTCTTTCTCACTTCCCCTCTGCTTTAGATTTCTTGGGTATTTCCTTTATTTCCTCTATCGTGTGTGTTTCTTGGTCTCTCTCCCCGTGCCCCCATCCCTCTCTAATCCATTCTCCTTCATCATGTTTTTCTTTTTTTTTTTTTAGTGTTCAAGAATTTCATTTATTTATTTATTTATTTTATTGTGGTTTGGGTGAAGATTTACAGAGCAGATTCACTTTCCATCCAGCAGTTCACATACACTTTGTCTCATGACATTGACCACAGTTTACCACAATGCAACAGCTCCCCTCCCACTTCCTCCTCATAGTTACCTCTTCCCAGTGTCCATCCCTCCATGCATGTCTACCCACTGAGCTGTCTCCCTGTGCATAAGCAGCCCTTCTTTCTCCCACGATTGTTCTCTCCAATGAGTGTATCTACCTCAAGTAAATGTTCAACTCATATGCTGTCTTTTGTTTGGCTGGAAACCACGGGTGTGGGTTCAGTTCCAGATCTGAAGGACAGCTAGGGGCCATAGTCTCTGTAGTTCCACCAGGCTCTATCGGACCAGCAAACCTGGTCCCCCCTCCCTTTTTTTTTCTCCAAATGATTTTGAGTTTTGTTCCACATTGTTCTCCCTCTCTATCAAGGATCTCCTACATAGATCCCCTTCCAAGTAGATGACAGTGGTAGCTGGGCACCATCTAGTTCTTCTGGTCTCATAGTCATATAGGCTGCAGATTGGATGGTGTACCAGTTGCTAGGACTAATTGTTTCCATGAATTTTGGTTTTCTTTTTTCTTCTTTGCTTTGGACAAGGAGAGACCCATCGTTGCATCTAGGTGGCAGCTTGCTAGCTTTTAAGATCCTAGTCACTACTCGCCAAAGTAGGAGGTGGAACAATGTTTAATATACTATGTTATGCCAATTGAGCTTGATGTCCCCTGTGACTATGGTCCCAAGCCCACAGGTTCAACACTCGGTCCCTCTGGGTGGCTGGCTGTGACCAAGCAATGACCACAACCTTGCCCCTTGTCAGCTCTACTATACACCTGGGAATTCTGATCATTCACATAAACTTATAGGACCATTGTCTGCCAACCCTATACATGTTCTTGGATACATTCCCCATTTCATAGACATACCTAGTTGTTCAGCCTGTCCACCCATCTGTCCACCCATATACCCATGTTTGCCTTCACTGACAGCGCAGTACTATATGTGCAGAAGGGTTCATATTTGTTGTGTGTACTTCCCATGTACCTCTCTATGTCTTTCTCATCATCAATGCTGCCATATTGGTCACTCACATTTGGTACACTGCCCTTCTCTTCACCCAAATCAATACTTATCTCTATCCATCTAACAGCCTTCCCTCCCCTCCCCTCCCACCCCTGGTAACCAACAAAGATTTTCTTCAATAGATAAACATTTCCTTAACTTTTACAGTAACAGACTAATACAATATTTGTCCTTCTGTGATTGACTTATTTCACTCAGTATAATGTTCTCCAAGTTCATCCACGTTATGCGGTGTTTTGCAGATTCTACATTATTCTTTAGCGTTGCATAGTATTCCATTGTGTGTATGTACCATAGTTTGGTTATCCATTCCTCAGTTGATGGACACCTAGGTTGTTTCCATTGTTTGGCTATTGTAAAGAGTGCTGTGCTTCATCATATTGTTCTTATCTTCTCTCCAATCTCTAGTTTCTTTCTCTTTCTCCCTCTCTCTGGTTTCAGTGGTGTAGTCTACATAAACTTCACAGAATAAATCTGTTATCATCAGCTGATTGTGTGCTGCCATTTTAAATTGGGAATTCAATAGTATAATAAAAGAATAAAAATTTACATTATTTCTTTCACAATGTACACTGGCTGTAGTTTCGTTAAGTGCCAAAGTTATATCAGAAAATAGCTTAATTTTGTTCTTACATGAATGGATATCACTTTGTGTTCTAAAACAAAACCCTTTGCCTTAATTTTGAGATTACCATCTTGATTGATATTTGGGGAAAATGAAAAATGTGAACTTATAACACAACTTGAGGAAATTTAAACATTATCATTACTTCATTGGCACTAAAGACCAAAATGAAATTGGAAAGGCTTGAGCTAAAACAATTGAGGTTGAAGTGTAAATTGGAATCTTAATAGTGAATTTTCTATTTAATTTTCTGCTTGATACCCAGCGATGTAGGAGTACATACAAATATATTTACCTAGAGAATTTATTTAGAAGCTCTGGTGGCACAGTAGTTATAGCATTCAGCGGCTAATCAAAAGGTCAGCAGTTCAAACCCACCAGTGGCTCTGTGGGAGAAAGATGAGGCAGTCTGTTTCTGTAAAGATTTACAGGCTTGGAAACCCTCTGGGGGTCACTATGAGTTGGAATCAACTTAATAACTGAGCAGTAAAATTAAGACATTGTTTGTTTGTTTAAGGTGGATGGCAGGATGAAACCTGGCCAGATGGCTGGACAGCAGTGACAAGAGATGGAAAGCGCTCTGCACAGTTCGAGCACACTCTGCTGGTCACGGACACTGGCTGTGAGATCCTCACCCGACGGCTTGAGAGTACACGGCCTCACTTCATGTCCCAATTTTAATTTCTGCCAAGATGGCACATCTCAAGAATTACTTCTGCCTGTACTATGCATTTTATTGAGAGTACAGAAAGCAAGAAAAAATTTTTATCACTTGTTTTGTTTTGACGATAGATAAGAAAGGACTACAGCATTTGATGTGTATCCTCAAGAACTTGTCTTGGTTCTGAAAAAACTGAGAAGAATAAAGAAAAAGATTTTCAACCCCTTTCAGAACCCCCTTCACCCCAAGTAATCTCTGCAGCCCCATTTACTCATTTGCCCTTCGAGCACTTTTACTTAAACCTGCTTGTAGTTGCGTTTATCACTGCCACAACCAGCTGACAAGAGCCAGCTGCTTTCCAGGTCAGTGCTGAAGATGAGAATCCTTGAAACTTTAGCAGCATATGTTGCTCCAGATTTTTTTTTATTATATATATGAAAATATATATGTATACATTTTAAATTCCATATACATAATTCCTGAACACGATGTGACCTGGGGTTTGTGTTGATTCTGCTTGGACAGGGCTTCATGCTGTCTTATGTAAATGGACAGATGGTTGCAGTGATTTAATTCCCCATTGGGAATTGACTCCCTTTTCCTCTGCTAATTATTTACCTTTGTAATTGTGCTTACGGAAGCACTGAAGTCAATGAGACTGTCTTTCCAGTGTGGGCTCTATGTGTCAGTGAATGAATGTGGCAAAATTCACTTTGGAAAAAAGTTACCAAGCTTTTTTTTTTTTTTTTTAAATCTAGTTTATGGCAAAAATTGCCACACTCCAAGTGCTGTCTGGCTATGGCAGGGATGAGAATTGTGTAATATAATGCTGTTTCCAAGCTCTATTTGGTCAGAAGTGGGAGGAAGAAAGCCCCTTCTCCATGTGCATGCCCCCCACACACATACGCAGTACACCTGATAAGGATGGGAAGGAACAACTGTGGGGATTGTTCCTTGGTGGTGGGCAGGCAGCAATGTGCTGCAGACACACCTCACCTTTACCTAGTAGGGGACCTCATTAGAAGTGACCTCAGTTCCTTTCAACATTTCAGTCCAAATAGAGTATCTGATAAAGACATATCAGACCATAAAGTCATTTTTATTAGCGTGTACTTGATTACTGGATGTCTGATGACTTTCTTGTAATATAATCTGATACCACTGACACATTATACTTGTAAGAGAACATCTTTCCCAGAGTGCCTCAGACCTTTATTGCTTTAAAGAATTATGATGTGTTCATTACTTTTATTATTTTAATGATTTCGTAAAGAGACCGAATCTGGTACAGACTTTGGGGGATACATGTGTGAACTTTTTAACAAATTGTAATTATTTGTGAATGGAATGCCTTGCAATATGAATGTTAATATAATGTGTAAAGGGAAATTAAAAAAGTTTGAATGATTATTCCACTACATAGTCATTTAACTTCATTGCATTTTTTTGGGATTTCAGAGGGAAGTGATGGGAACGGGTGGCTGACTTTAAAATTTAACATGAACTTATGACCAGTTGCTTAAAAATGCATTTTCTGGTTCAGTAACTAGTCAGTAATTCCAGCACTGTGCTTAGCAGTCTGCCAGCAGCATTTGAGATGTAACTGTTTTTGAGAGTTTTTAAGGTAGAGAATGGTGATTGTTTAGGAGACCATTTTACATGCTGCTGGTGGAATTAATTGTGTGGGCTTATTCCATATCTATCATTAGAACATAAGCTCAAGGAAAAAAAATCTTGGTGGGTGTGGTATTTAATATTATGTGTCAGCTTGGCCTGGTTTTGAGTGGCTGGGTGGCAGCTGGATGTAGTTATTCCCCATGATGAGACTGGTAATCAATCCATGGTGGAATCTGCTGTGAGCATCTGAGTAGCTACCTTAGAGATGGGGTCTTCTTTGAGTATATAGGGAGAAGCTCAGAACAGTCTCTGAGCTTTTTGGCACATCTGGATCCTGCATTTGGCAGAGTCTTCATGCCAGTGGCCTGCCATGTTGGTGATCTTGAGACTATTTCTGGACTTGAATTTTAGTGGCCTGTTGTGTTACTTGATAATTTTGGGACTGTTCATTTTACCTGTCAACCTTGGGTTTGTCAGCCTCAGCAGCCAGCACCTGCCTGAATTAGAGGTACCTTCAGGTTCAGTGGGCTGGGAGCAAGAGGCAGAGATGAAGCCCAAGGCTGAGGGGCCTACACCCAGCCTCTAGAGCTGGCACTTTGAGCTCACACTTCTAGCCTCCTAAATGTTCAGAGAATAAATCCCTGTTTCTTAAGCCATCCACATGTGGTTTTTCTGTTCGAGCAGGAGTAGAGAACCAAAATAGAGGGATAATTTTTTTTTATTAAAAGATAAACCACCATACTGGTGATAAGCTTTTCTCTATTGGGAGATTTAAATAATGTAGACTCTAATTGTATAAATGCAATTAGAAATACTTATCTGTGAGATTTAAGGGAGAAAACATCTAGTTTCATCATTATGCCAACTTTTTTTTTTTTTTTTAGGTAAAGATTTACAGAGCAAATTCACCTTCCATACAGCAGTTCACATATACTTTGTCTCATGTCATTGACCACAGTTTACCACAATGCAACAGATCCCCTCCCACTTCCTCCCCATAGTTACCTCTTCCCAGTGTCCATCCCTCCATACTC